ACAACCTCTCGTTATAAGTACAAAACTGGAATACTAACAAAAGAATGGGATTTGAGGAAAGGGGTTTGTTAGAAGAAGGATATGACACTAAGATTAATGTGGGGAACGAAAGTGGAAAAATGGCCATACGTAATTATGAATTTTAAAGAAGAGAAGTAAGACAGACATTTTCTTTCATGGAAATAGACATACCCTGGCAAAAGAAGTTAACCTGGGGTTGAATCTGGGCTTCACCAACAAGCTTTTCATCATCTGGCTGGTCTCTTAACATGTCTTTCTCTCATTTCATCTTTCAAAGGAGAATAAAAAACACCTCAAATGTGCCTTGTGTAAATTGAATCATATAAAAGATTAAAGCTTTTTATATGACCCCCGGTGTACAGTAAGTGCTTGTAAGTGTTAGCAGCTTTTATAATTAATGTAAGTGGCATTAATCTCAGGAATCAAATTGATATAACATTGGCACAAGAATCAAAAGACCAATCATGAATCAGGAAACTAAGAAATAGGAATTATTTGAAATTATTTCATTTATTACGGACACATTAGCAGAAATTAATTAAGAAAAATGAGGATTATTTAAAAGCGGCTCTGTGATAATGTCTAGCTGATTGTCCCATCATCATTATTGAATAGTTTGTCTTCATGGAATATAAGTCTCACAGCGCAGGCATGATTCAAGGCAAGCTAAACACTTCTAACTTTTCTCATTTTTCTCATCCAAGTTCTTAACACTAGTGTCAGGTTTAACAATTTGCTGCAATGACTCACAGAACTCAGAAAAGCACTTTACTTACTATTACCACTTTATGATAAAGGATGTAACTCAGAAACACCAAGTAGAAGAGATGAACACGGCAAGGTATTTTATTTTATTCTCTGCATAATTTGTATTTTTTTATTTTTGCCATTAATATTTTTCTTGAAAAAAATAAAAAGAAAATTTTTACAAATAATAAAGTTTTGCTAGATATTGTCCTCAATAGATATTTTGAAATGAGTTTTCAGTAGAATAAAATTCATTATATGCTAAATATTTTTATATTTAATTAAGTGGATGTATTCTTAAGAAGAGGTCTGTAACTTTTGGCTGATTCTCAGAAAGGTTAAGACCTATGAAAGATTAAAACTACAGTTCTATAATTTTGATGTTGAAGATCTTTAGAAAGATTTCTTGGCCAGGCACGGTGGCTCACGCCCGTAATCCCAAGCCCTTTGGAAGGCTGAGGCGGGCGGATCACCTGAGGTCAAGATTTCGAGATCAGCTTGACCAACATGGAGAAACCCCATCTCTACTAAAATATATATATATATACACACTCACACACACAAAATTAGCCAGGCGTAGTGGTGCATACCTGTAATCCCAGCTACTAGGGAGGCTGAGGCAGGAGAATCATTTGAACCCCAGAGGCGGAGGTTGTGGTGAGCCGAGATCATGCCATTACATGAAACTCTGTCTCAAAAAAAAAAAAAAAAAAAAAAACTCTAACAATTAGAAAACAGTAAAAAAAAAAAAAAAATTCAAGTTAGAAAATTATCAACATTTTATTCACTATCATATGCATATTTAAAGAATCACTATCATATGCATATTTAAATATGAATTTGATGAAACTTCCATTTTGTGAGGCTTCTCCAGAAATTCCTTAATCCCAACTGATAATACAGATAATATATTTCAATTGTGCTTTTTCTAAACCACATGGCTTTCTGATTGTCAAGCTTTCCTTTTATTTAAAAATATCTAGATGTTTGCCAGTATCTTAAATCTACACGTTTAATATCTTTAAAAAAAAAATGGGAGGCCGAGACGGGCGGATCCTGAGGTCAGGAGATCAAGACCATCCTGGCTAACATGGTGAAACCCCGTCTCTACTAAAACATACAAAAAACTAGCCAGGCGAGGTGGCGGGCCCCTGTAGTCCCAGCTACTCAGGAGAATGGCAGGAACCCGGGAGGCGGAGCTTGCAGTGAGCTGAGATCCGGCCACTGCACTCCAGCCTGGGTGACAGAGCGAGACTCCGTCTCAAAAAAAAAAAAAAAAAAAAAAAATGACAGCATTGAAAGTGTTTTGGAGTTCAAACTCTTCGTTATTAATCCTCACAACCATAGTGTCCAAAAAATATGCATGATGGTGTATATTAAAAGTTCTGGCTAATTCTCCTTAAACGTTGCTGTCACACCACTCGGTTTCATTTCTTCCAGCAGTGCTACTTTAATCCAGTATTTTACTTAAACTAAATCGAATTTTTGGCAGAGAACGTTTTTTAATCCTTTTTAAATTGGTTCTAAAAAGATTGAATTTCACTGGTACATCAATGAAATGAAAAATCATTTTTATTAAAATAATCCGGTATACTCTGAAACATCTGATATGAATTTCATGAGCAGTCGTCTTATTATTCAGTTGAGAACGTGGTTACAATCACCAGATTTTGTAACATTGAGATCGTTATTGTTCTATTGATTGACTTCTGAATTTTCATACATGTGTAAGACTCAATTGTGAACTATAAAATAGACTTACCTAGCTTGATCTCTGATTGTTAACAACATCAGAAAACTCATAGATGTATAATTATAGATGTAGTAATTTTATCATGCTCTCTACACTGACAATATCATTTTCTAAGTTATAAAAATATATTTAATAATGAATTTCACATGTATCCCCTATCCTTCAACCTGTTTCAGTGAGCTGTAATTTTTTCATTCAGTTTTATCACAAATTCACCATTCTGTCTAAAATTTGAATGACTTCGATACATATCACATTTTCTTAATTTTCTACCACCAGAAGCACCTTCTCTACCACAGAATTTTAATTTATCATGTAACTTTTTTCTTGTTAGAAAAATTAGCACTCCTATTACAGTAGGTAGGTAGGTAGTCAGAAATGAGCAGAGAAGAAGGCCCCCTCCACCCCCACCCCCAGCAGGTGATGGTCAGGCGGTTGCTAAACTGCCTCTCTAGAATAATGATTGGTCTCAGCTGGCGCCAGAGAAAGGCAGTCTCCCAGTAGATAGAAAAACCTCAAACCGGTGATCAGCAGCTTCCCGATAAGATCTCAGGAGTTGGGCAAGTGGGCTCAAGCATGCGCAATAGGAGGCAAAATGGCTGCGTTTAACCAGTATATGACTATCTAGGAACACTGGCCTAGTAAGGGAAGACTGCCTCAAGCGCACATGCGTACAACTCCAGTAAACACACTGTGCATGCTGCACCCCCCAAGAACTAACAGACCACTGTGCATATGGACAGGCCACCCGAGGGAAGAATCAGGGGAGAAGTAATGCAAGACCCCGGAAGGATACCAACAGGTAAAACCCTAAGTCAAAAGTTAAACCATGCCCTTGATCTCAAGTTGCCTGCTTGATCCTCTTCCAAGGATACATTTCTTCCTTTTATTCCTGCTTTAAAACTTTTTTTTTTTTTTTTTTTTTTTTTTTTGAGATGGAGTCTTGCTCTGTCGCCCAGGCTGGAGTGCAGTTGCGCGATCTCGGCTCACTGCAAGCTCCGCCCCCCCGGGTTCACGCCATTCTCCTGCCTCAGCCTCCTGAGTAGCTGGGACTACAGGCGCCCGCCACCTCCCCGGCTAATTTTCTTGTATTTTTAGTAGAGACGGGGTTTCACCGTGTTAGCCAGGATGGTCTTGATCTCCTGACCTCGTGATCCGCCCGTCTCGGCCTCCCAAAGTGCTGGGATTACAGGCTTGAGCCACCGCGCCTGGCCCTAAATAAACTTTCACTCCTGCTCAAAAACTTGTCTCAGTCTCTTACTCTGCCTTATGCCCCTCGGTCAAATTCTTTCTTCTGAGGAGGTGAGAATTGAGCTTGCTGCAGACACTTACAGATTTGCCGCCAGTAACCTTACTAATAGAATTCTACCTCCTTTCTAATCTTGTATACAACTTTTATAAGTCTATACAACAGGACTATTTAAAACGTCACAATTTAGCTACATCTTCTTGTACTTTAAACCTAAATTTTAGTTACATGCTTCATCATATCTAATAAATTTCATAAAGCGAAGAGTCCTAAATTAACGCTGTCCTGTATGTATCATCTTGTATTCGTAGATTGGCCCCTGATGAAAATTCACTTGTGCAATGCTACAATCGCAATTGATATCATCAATTGACTCAATTGGTGAAATCTTACAAATATTTGCAAATAATCCTAATATTGTTTTGGTAACAATTTTAAATTATTACAGTCACTAACATATGAGTTATAATAAAATACAGATTTAATATTAAACTGTTAAAAACCAGTAAAAAACATATGCAGCACTTGTATAGAACTGTGCTTATTGATATATGGTAGGATATTCATCTGGTAGATGTGGTACTTTTAAGGTAACCTGATCACTATGCATACAAATGCCATCGCTTACTTCACTGATAATTTTGTCACTATTTTCTATGTTGAATTTTGATTTAAAATTTATTGATAATGTTCAATGAAAATTTGTAATTTTTAAACAGTAACTGAATAGGACAATGATTTATTTCCTATCTCTTGATATACTTTTAAAAGCTTTATTACTTTTAATACAACAGCAAATAAAAGGTTTTACCTTCTGGGAAATTGGGAAGAATTATAAAATATTCCATTGTACCTTGCTACTCAAAAGTGCTCCACAGAACAGCAACATTAGCATCCCCTAGAAGGGCAAGAGAAATGCAGGTTCCCAGGCCCCTCCCCAGCCCTACTGAATCCAAACTGGCATTTTAAGAAGATAAGAGTCCCAGGTGATTCATATGTGTATTTAGGTATAATAGGTTCCCCAAAATAAATTATGAATTATCAAAATATATCTTTTGACTTTCACAAAAATAGTATTTTCAAAAGAGTTGCTTGTGTTAGAAATAAAATGTGCACCTTAATAAACTCAGACTACATTTTACGTATCTATATTATCTTCAAGTGGATGGGTTCAGAATTTAAGTCAACATATCAAAAAATGCAAATCTTTTATTTGACATCTTCATGCAGATTCTTACAGAAGGATTGAGTTACTGTAACTGAAGACTTGAAAACTAACCAGAAAAAAGTGCTCTGAGGTTATGTTTGGTTGGAAGTGAACCCAGATGGCTCTGCGAGTCTCCAGCAGTTTGTATGCTTAGGTGTGGCTAACTCCTCCAAGCCGTGGGCAATGCGGTACCTCCAATCTCTGGACAACAATAGCAGAGAACTATCTTAGGCCCTTAAATAACTGCCAGGTAAGACCTGCACTAAATATGTATGCAGTACAGGGCAGGAAGGTAGGAGAAGGTGGACCAAAATTACAAAATGAAGGATCTAGGATAAATTTCTGAAAACAAGATTGAAGTTGTGCGACAGTAGGAGATACGAAATAAGGAAACATCGGTCCTTTTCTCCGGGTAATTAAGAATAAGATTATGCTTTAATCTGCATCAATATATTAAGTTCTTCCTTCAGGTTTGTATTATGCACCCTCCTCTGCATTATACTTACAGTATATTTGCATGTTGATAATTTATAGGGGATAACAGAAAGTTGCTTCCCAGTAGACTAATTTTATCTCAATGACAGTATCCAATGTTTAAAAAATGATAGTACAACCAATTCAATGTTTACCTAATATAAAAATATTTTAAACCTAAAAGGCAGGTTTTATTTACGTTACAACATCTGAAAATGCCTCCCAAATCCCTATGAGTTTCTGAGATCTCCACTTTGTCAACCATGAGCTAGAATTGGCTGGTGATTTGGCAATGGCAGCTGTAGGAAAACTTATAGCAAATAAATAGACCTGATTTTTACATGTTGGATTCTCCTCAGATCTCACCTCTAACTCACAGCTCGTTGATAATTAATAATCATTTTTTCTATGTAAAAAAGTAAACAGACCAATTACTTCATAATTAGATAATTTTAATAAGTGAAAGAGACTGATAAATAAATCTGTATTTCTACAAAAATCACTGTGACATTCAAAGTTTTTGTTGATATTGCACACTGTTATGGACTAAATGTTTGTGTCTCCCCCAAATTCACGTGTTGAAGCTCTGACCCCCAGTGCGATGGTAATTGGAGATGGAGTTTTAGAGATGAGGTCTTAAGAGTGGGACGTTAATCAGATGAGATTGGTGTCATTATAAAAAGAAGAGACATAAGAGTGTTCTCTGTCTTCCTCTCTCCCTCCCCGCTCCTTCCTCCCTTTTGCCCTTCCTCTCTCCCTCCCCCTCTCTCTGCAAGTACCCACCAAGAAGAGATCATGTGAGTGAGACACAGTGAGACAGTGAAGTAGCAGCAGCCTATAAGCCAGGAGGAGAGACCTTAGAATGAAACCAACCCTCCCAGCACCTTGATCTTGGACCGCCCCACCTCCATAATTGTGGGAAATAAATTTCTGTGTCTTATGTCACTGAGTCTATGGCATTTTGTAATAGGAGCCCAAGCAGACTAATACATACTTCAAATAATTTCTATTCCAAATTATTTGATAGTAGGCATAGACCAAGGAAAAGTTCAATTTGACTATTACATCATAAGATTTCAATTATAATAATTATTTAAAGGCAAAGATGAGAAAACTGACCTAGAAAGGCAACAGATTAGATGTCAGAGAAATGTGAAGTGCTTCCTTTCTTGCTTTATTGAATCAAATAAATCTAAAATATATTTAAAAAATAGTAATGACAAACCATGCCCTGATTTTTGAAAACAGGCATTGTAAAAGCCGTATTATATAGAACTTAATAAACATATCAAAAAAGTTAAATGCATACACGATACATATTGTTTTCACATAAAATTCTAACGTCGGCCTGAAATTACTGGTAAGAATAAAGAAAAAAGTGCATAGATTAAAAACCAGAGACATATAATGAAGATTATTAGATATAATGGAGCTATGTAACTGAGAATAAAAGCCCCAAATCGCTCCTGACACTTGAATCTAAGAATCCTTAAGGTAGTGTACTAGGAAAATCTTGTTTAAAAGTATCTGTACATAACTAACAATTCCATGTTACAAATAGAATCTTAGAACAAATCTGTGTGTGTGAGTGTTTTCTTCAAGGCATAAATAAAACAATATATTCTGAAAGTTACATTTTATACACAGATATAAAATTGTTTTTCTCATATAATTTCTATTGTGCTGAGATTCCAGGAAGATGTTTTCTAATGTATCTGTAGAATGCTATGAAAATCATCCAGAACAAAAAGGTTATATCTGATTAAAATCCTCGTGAGCCAGAATTTGTGTTTGTTTTCATCGTTCTCATATTCCTTGTGCTGAGAACATAGCAGGGACTCAATAAATGGCACACAGCAGGGACTTAATAAATATGGAACGAGTGAATTAATTGACAGGAATCAGAATATGCTACCCTGTAATATGATGCCTTGGCATATTGTATACTTTAAGCTAAAGGAATTTGAGTAACAGCAGGTTCAGGAAGCGCTCTCTGACCTCCCCCTTCCTAAGACCCTCATGTGAGAGATGCCTTTCTTATAGCCAAAAGAAACATCCTTATGTCCAAAACAGGATGCCAAGAGGAAGCTGAATGAACAGACCTTGTTAAGTTTCCCCCAGTTTTCTACCCTTAGCTCATACATCTTTGTCCCATCACATTTTTCCATGATCTTCCATTCTTCATCAAACTCAGTATAAAAACACTCAGGTTTAATTATTTCTTCAGGTCTTCATTTCTTTACAACTGACATGAAGTAAATTAGTATATTTTTCTCTTGTTCATAGGTCTTTCATCAATCTAATTTAGAGGCTCCCAGCAAATGAATCTAAGGTGGGTAAGAGATTTTTTTTCTTCTCTAGATAATGAATGTGTTGGCCAGGGTTCCCTAAAGAGACAGAGCTAATAGGATAGATGTATGTATGAAGGGGAGTTCATGAAGGAGTATTGACCCACACGGTCACAAGGTGAAGTCCTACAATAGGCCATCTGCAAACTGAGGAACAGGGAAGCCAATCCGAGTCCCAAAACCTCAAAAGCCGGGTAGCTGACAGTGAAGCTTTCAGTCTGTGGCCAAAGGCCCCGAGAGCTCCTGGCAAATCACTGGTGAAAGTTTAGTCCAAAAGCTGAAGAACCTGGAGTCCGATGTTCGAGGGCAGGAAGCATCCAGCACGGGAGAAAGATGAAGACCAGAAGACTCAGCCAGTCAAGTCTTTCCATGTTCTTCTGCCTGCTTTATTCTAGCCCCAGCTACAGCTCACAGACACACCCAGGAACAGTACTTTGCATACTTCAATTCAATCAAGTTGACATTCAATGTTAACCATCACAATGAGTGAACACTTCCGTAAATTGTAAGGTTATTGTCATTAAAACTACTCTTGTGATGTTTAACCATATTAATTATAAGTACTTATAAATAACAGAAAAAGAGATTAAGTAGATGTTTAATGTTATTGTTTAATATATTTGATAGTTAATGAAGAATGAAATTTCCATGTAGGGTTTCACACATATCACTATCTTCAACTTCTTCTTTTGCTTGTATACTAGTTTCCAGTTACCTCACCCATTAGGATGAAAGCTCTGTAAGAGCAATGGCTTTGTTTTATAAACCCCTGTACTAATGGCGCTGAAAACAGTGCTTGTCAAATAGCAAGTGCTCAAAAACTGTTTGCTAAGTGAAAGAATAAATGTAAAGCACAGGTTCTCAAGCCAGTTTAGATGGTGAGGCATCTAGAAATTATGCTTGATGTACTTTAAAAAATACTGTAACAGGCAGGGCATGGTGGCTCACACCTGTAATCCCAACACTTTGGAAAGCTGGGGAAGGAGGATTGCTTGAAGGCAGGTGTTTGAGACCAGCCTGGGAAACAAACTGATACGGTTTAGCTGTGTCCCCACCCAAATCTCAACTTGAATTGTATCTCCCAGAATTCCTACATGTTGTGGGAGGGACTCAGGAGGAGGTAACTGAACCATGGAGTCCAGTCTTTCCTGTGCTATTCTTGTGATAGTGAATAAGCCTCATGAGATCTGATGGGTTTATCAGAGGTTTCCACTTTTGATTCTTCCTCATTTTCTCTTGCCACTGCCATGTAAGATGTGCCTTTCACCTCCCTCTGTAATTCTGAGGCCTCCCCAAACATGCAGAACTGTTAAGTCCAATTAAGCCTCTTTTTCTTCCCAGTCTCAGGTATGTCTTTACCGGAAGCATGAAAACAGACTAATACACAAAGCAAGACCCCATTTCTACCAAAAATTTTTTTAAAAGTTTAACTAGGCATGGCTGTACACAACTGTAGTCCCAGATACTCAGGAGGCAGAAGCAGGAGGATCACTTGAGTTTGAGGCTGCAGTGAGCTATGATTGTGCCACTGTACTCCAGGCTGCATGACAGAGTACAGAGTGAAACTCTATCTTTTAAAAGAAAAAATATATATAGAGAGAGTAAAATATCCAAATATTAGGCTTAAAAGTATTAAGCTTATAATGGATAAAAATCATGCAATACTATCTGTAGTTGTAAATTATGGAATAATGTATGTTAATTTTTTCATTTCCACTTTTAACTCTCCCACTCAAAATTTCAAATATGATAAAATGTGGAGTATCTACCAAGTGTCTTGAACATAATATTTGTACTTTAAATATTAATAGGTTTAGATTATAATTGCAAGTCATTTAAACTCAGAGCACCAGCATTGCTTATGTGAAATGGATTTGCTATGCTAATACATGTCCCTTTTCTGTCTTGTGCAATGTTAGGGTCAATAAAAATAGATTTTAAAAATACCAGCAGGTTATTAAAGGTGACACAAGTCCTTTCATTAAAATAATGCTATTATTACCATCTGAATGCTAACATCAACTTCTAGAATTTGAAGGCCAATTTCTGTAGAATCTCTGTACTTTTGTCTTAGTCTGTTTGGTTGCTATAACAGAGTACCATAAACTGGATGACTTATAAACAACATAAATTTATTTCTTATAGTTCTGAAGGCTGGAAATGTAACCACCCAATGGGTTTACCTTGCCTGCTGTCCAAACAGTGCTGATTTATCAAGATAGAGGAATTGCAATAGAGAAAGAGTAATTCACACACAGCAGGCTGTGCGGAAGATCCAAGTTTTATTATTACTCAAATCAGTCTCCCTGAGCATTCAGGGATCAGAGTTTTTCAGGACAATTTTGTGGGTAGGGGAATACCAGTGTGTCAAGAGTGCTGACTGGCCGGGTCAGGGACGAAATCATAGGGAATTAAAGCTGTCTTCTTGTGCTTAGTCAGTTCCTGGGTGGGGGCCACAGATCAGATGAGCCAGTTTATGTATCTGGGTGATGCCGGCTGATCCATCAAGTGCAGGGTCTGCAAAATATTTCAAGCACTGATCTTAGGAGCAGTTTAGGGAGGGTCAGAATCTTTTAACCTCCAGCTGCATGACCCTTAAACTGTAATTTCTAATCTTGTGCCTAATTTGTTAGTCCTACAACGGCAGTCTAGTCTCCAGGCAAGAAGGAGGTTTGTTTTGGGAAAGGGCTGTTACCATCTTTGTTTTAAACTACTAAGTTCCTCCAAAGTTAATTCAGCCTATGCCAAGAAATGAACAAGGACAGCTTGGAGGTTAGAAGCAAGATGGAGCTGGTTAAGTCAGACCTCTTTCACTGTATCAGTTACAATTTTGCAATAGCGGTTTCAGAAAGAACAAGATCAAGGCACAGGCACTGGCAAATTTGGGGTCGGGTGAGGACATGCTTCCTAGTTCACAGATGGTAGTTTTCTCACTGTGTCCTCACATGGTGGAAGGGACAAGGGAGCTTTCAGGGATATCTTTCATAAGGCAAATAATCCCACTCATGAAGACTCCAATCTCATGATAAAATCACCTCCCAAATGCTCTGCCTCCTAGTACCATGACATTGGGTGGTAGGATTTCAACATAAGAATTTAGTGGGGACACAAATATTCAGTCTATAGCAACTGCAATTCCAAACACCATAACATCATAGCATATTTCAGCAATAACCTAAATTGATAAGAATTGCAAAGAAAAGATAAAGTAATATTAGATAGGTAGCTATTCTTGAAAAAGTTTAATATTCAATAAGGATGACTATGTAGGTATTCAAGTTACCTGAGTATTCTATTTCTACATATTAGCCTAGGAAATAGGGAAATTAGTTGGCCAAATAATTACTGGGCAAATAAATACATTAGGGAAAAAAATCCACATCAACAATACTTTGAGAAACGAGGTAGGGGCATCACTTTAACATTGCTTAAGGTTTGCCATAAATTTTGTAGTGAAAGGAACATATACTCAACTGCCTCAAACACACTATTTCTAGAATGCTTGGCCTCTTTCGACAACAACATCTTCATCTCTAAAATTACTCCTGACGCTAGCTAAGGGCATCAGAGTGTGAGCTCCTTGGAGGCAAGGATAGCATCTTGGTTTTCATTGTAACTGAGACACAATACTTAGTAAATGTCTGTAGAGCAAATATGACTGTGCTGAATGTGCCAACCATATATAATTATTTGAAATACACTGCACTATTGTTTGTCATCAACCACTGAAATATCCAGTAATTATTCTGTGCATCCAAAACCTATCTCGAGGCTGCCTATTGCATCCAGGAGAGTCAGAAAATCCATTGTCAGTTCATATTAGAAAAACTGCTAGAAATGTTCAATTCAATTCACTAAAGATTTGTTAGTCTCCTGCTATGTGTCTTTTTATTATACTAGATGCTATAAGAAAATAAAAGACATAAATGTCATGATCCTTGCACTTAGAAGGGACTTGTCTATTTCTATCCCTGTATATATGTGCCACTATAACTATTTTCCAAAGAAACATATCCCTCAATCTTTCACAGTAAGTCGCAGTAGCATTTTTATTAGGAAACTCAAGTAATAAAAAGGGCAGTTCTCATAAATGCTAAATCTGAACAAACAAACAAGGGGCTATAAAGGAACTAGGGGAGTCATAATACTAGGTGAGCCAAGGAAGAAAGAATGCTACAAGTTAAGTAGCGCTGTAACTAAAACAATAGCTGAGAATGAAACTCTCACAGGGAAATGCAATAAAAAGACAAACACTGCCTGAGGAAAATATCATCTGTATCTTATGGGTAGTGGGCTCCATTTTTTCTTTTCTTCTAATCTTTTAATGTTAATTTAGAAGACACCGAATAAAAAAAGATAAAGATAGACATTTTGAAGACATGAGGTGTTACTTGTGACTGGTCAACCAGAAGGGTACACAATAAACAGGATAAAAGGAAATACATTGGTGAAGCCAAGACATCTGCTCCCAATCCTAATTTCATTGAACAGTTTGATTAAAGGGAAAGAAAATTCATTTAAATTAATGGCTAGTATTTGCATTTTAATGGAACTTTTTGGAAGATGTAGTCACCAAATATTTCAGCTATTTCCTCAGGGAAGGCAATAGGATTTCAATTCATTTCAGAATTCTAAAGCAAGTAAAAATATGATCCCATTCTCATAAGACCAAGCAAAGCAAATCTTCTGAATATCTTCAAACAAATCAATTCAATGGCAAATCAATAAATATTTTAAAAAGAGAATATCCTTGACTCCTCAATTATTTTACCGTAATCCAGAGAGAGAAATTGGACCCAGATTTACAAGCAAATCAGGAAGTCTGAATATCTTTCACTGAAACTAGACCACATCCAAGTGATAACTGACTGGCAAGTTTTGATCTCCATCTTCTAAACTCTATCCAGGGAAGCTGGATATGCTGATGGATTTAGCTGACTTGTAATAAGCTATTGGTGCTCTGTAGTTGTCAATGTGTCAGTTTACTTTTTTATTTGTAGGAATGCCCATGACAAAAAAGCATTTTTGTTGTTTCTACAGCTTCACATTTACTGCATTGAAGAAATAGGACAAGTTTTAAGAAGCATGTTATCCTGAGTGGTAAGCTATTTCTCTTGCATATGAATGGCTACCTAACATTAATATTTCCTAACTAGTAATTTTTATAAAATGAAATAATAATAATAAATTTTTATAGGAAGTCATGTATTTCGAAAACATGTTATGGGTTCTTATAACTTTTTTTCTGTGTTTTTTACACAGAAGATGAGAAACAAAAGGAAGAAATGTATTTATCTCTTTTCCACTAATTGTGCAAATTGCTCACAGATGCCAAATAATCCTTCATGTTTTTCTCAATGAGTCAGGTCCTGGGCTCGTGGAAACTGTGATAAACAGAGAATAGATTTACATATAAGATAGCTTATTACATCAAAGTGAACATGCTTTCAGTATTAATAAATTTTAAAAATCTGCATTTCCATTGGTAGTTTCTACCTCGTCAATATCTTTTTCCCCTTAAAAATTTTTTTAAATTTTTTATTATACTTCAAGTTCTAGGGTATATGTGCACAATGTGCAGGTTTGTTACATATGTATACAAGTGCCATGTTGGTGTGCTGCACCCATTAACTTGTCATTTACATTAGGTATCTCTCCTAATGCTATCCCTCCTTCCTCCCCCCGCCCCATGACAGGCCCCAGTGTGTGATGTTCCCCTTCCTGTGTCCAAGTGTTCTCATTGTTCAGTTCCCACCTATGAGTGAGAGCATGTGGTGTTTGCTTTTCTGTTCTTGCGATAGTTTGCTGAGAATGATGGTTTCCAGCTGCATCCATGTCTCTATAAAGGACATGAACTCATCCTTTTTTATGGCTGCATAGTATTCCATGGTGTATATGTGCCACATTTTCTTTATCCAGTCTATCATTGATGGGCATTTGGGTTGGTTCCAAGTCTTTGCTGTTGTGAATAGTGCTGCAATAAACATACGTGTGCATGTGTCTTTATAGCAGCATGATTTATAATCCTTTGGGTATATACCCAGTAATGGGATGGCTGGGTCAAATGGTATTTCTAGTTCTAAATCCTTGAGGAATCACCACACTGTCTTTCACAATGGGTGAACTAGATTACAGTCCCACCAACAGTGTAAAAGTGTTCCTATTTCTCCACATCCTCTCGAGCACCTGTTGTTTCCTGACTTTTTTTTTTTAATTTATTATTATTATTATACTTTAAGTTCTAGGGTACATGTGCATAACGTGCAGGTTTGTTACATATGTATACTTGTGCCATGTTGCTGTGCTGCACCCATTAACTCGTCAGCACCCATCAACTCGTCATTTACATCAGGTATAACTCCCAATGCAATCCCTCCCCCCTCCCCCCTCCCCATGATAGGCCCCCTTCCCGAGTCCAAGTGATCTCATTGTTCAGTTCCCACCTATGAGTGAGAACATGCAGTGTTTGGTTTTCTGTTCTTGTGATAGTTTGCTAAGAATGATGGTTTCCAGCTACATCCATGTCCCTACAAAGGACACAAACTCATCCTTTTTTATGGCTGCATAGTATTCCATGGTGTATATGTGCCACATTTTCTTAATCCAGTCTGTCACTGATGGACATTTGGGTTGATTCCAAGTCTTTGCTATTGTGAATAGTGCTACAGTAAACATACGTGTGTATGTGTCTTTATAGCAGCATGATTTATAATCCTTTGGGTATATACCCAGTAATGGGATGGCTGGGTCATATGGTACATCTAGTTCTAGATCCTTGAGGAATCGCCATACTGTTTTCCATAATGGTTGAACTAGTTTACAATCCCACCAACAGTGTAAAAGTGTTCCTATTTCTCCACAGCCTCTCCAGCACCTGTTGTTTCCTGACTTTTTAATGAGCGCCATTCTAACTGGTGTGAGATGGTATCTCATTGTGGTTTTGATTTGCATTTCTCTGATGGCCAGTGATGATGAGCATTTTTTCATGTGTCTGTTGGCTGTGTAAATGTCTTCTTTTGAGAAGTCTGTTCATATCCTTCATCTGCTTTTTGATGGGGTTGTTTGTTTTTTTCTTGTAAATTTGTTTGAGTTCGTTGTAGGTTCTGAATATTAGCCCTTTGTCAGATGAGTAGATTGCAAAAATTTTCTCCCATTCTGTAGGTTGCCTGTTCACTCTGATGGTAGTTTCTTTTGCTGTGCAGAAGCTCTTTAGTTTAATTGGATCCCATTTGTCTATTTTGGCTTTTGTTGCCATTGCTTTTGGTGTTTTAGACATGAAGTCCTTGCCCATGCCTATGTCATGAATGGTATTGTCTAGGTTTTCTTCTAGGGTTTCTGTGGTTTCAAGTCTAACATTTAAGTCTGTAATCCATCTTGAATTAACTTTCGTATAAAGTGTAAGGAAGGAATCCATTTTCAGCTTTCTACTTATGGCTAGCCAGTTTTCCTAGCACCATTTATTAAATAGGGGATCCTTTCCCCATTTCTTGTTTTTGTCAGGTTTGTCAAAGATCAGATGGTTGTAGATGTGTGGCATTATTTCTGAGGGCTCTGTTTTGTTCCACTGGTCTATATCTCTGTTTTGGTACCAGTACCATGCTGTTTTGGTCACTTTAGCCTTGTAGGATAGTTTGAAGTCACGTAGTGTGATGCCTCCAGCTTTGTTCTTTTGGCTTAGGATTGTCTTGGCAATGAGGGCTATTTTTTGGTTCCATATGAACTTTAAGGTAGTTTTTTCCAATTCTGTGAAGAAAGACATTGGTAGCTTAATGGGGATGGGATTGAATCTATAAATTACCTTAGGTAGTATGGCCATTTTCACGATATTGATTCTTCCTATCCATGAGCATGGTATGTTCTTCCATTTGTTTGTGTCCTCTTTTATTTCATTGAGCAGTGGTTTGTAGTTCACCTTGAAGAGGTCCTTCACATCCCTTGTAAGTTGGATTCCTAGGTATTTTATTCTATTTGAAGCAATTGTGAGTGGGAGTTCACTCATGATTTGGCTCTCTGTTTGTCTACTATTGGTGTATAAGAATGCTTGTGATTTTTGCACATTGATTTTGTATCCTGAGACTTTGCTGAAGTTGCTTATCAGCTTAAGGAGATTTTGGGCTGAGATGATGGGGTTTTCTAAATATACAATTATGTCGTCTGCAAACAGGGACAATTTGACTTCCTCTTTTATTAATTGAATACCTTTTATTTCTTTCTCTTGCCTGATTGCCCTGGCCACAACTTCCAACACTATGTTGAATAGAAGTGTCTTGTGCCAGTTTTCAAAGGGAATGCTTCCCATTTTTGCCCATTCAGTATGATACTGACTGTGGGTTTGATATATTATTTTGAGATACGTTCCATCAATACCGAATTATTTTGAGAGTTTTTAGCATGAAAGGCTGTTGAATGTTGTCAAAGGCCTTTTCTGCATCTATTGAGATAATCATGTGGTTTTTGTCTTTGGTTCTGTTTATATGCTGGATTACATTTGTTGATTTGTATATGTTGAACCAGCCTTGCATCCCAGGGATGGAGCCCACTTGATCATTTTGGATAAGCTTTTTGATGTGCTGCTGGATTCGGATTGCCAGTATTTTATTGAGGATTTTTGCATCAATGTTCATCAGGGATATTGATCTAAAATTTTCTTTTTTTTGTTGTGTCTCTGCCAGGTTTTGGAATCAGGATGATGTTGGCCTCATAAAATGAGTTAGGGAGGATTCTCTCTTTCCGGATTGATTGGAATAGTTTCAGAAGGAATGGTACCAGCTCCTGTTTGTACCTCTGGTAGAATTCAGCTGTGAATATGTCTGGTCCTGGATTTTTTTGGTTGGTAGGCTATAAATTATTGCCTCAATTTCAGAGCCTGTTATTGGTCTATTCAGAGATTCAACTTCTTCTTCGTTTAGTCCTGGGAGAGTGTATGTGTCTAGGAATTTATCCATGTCTTCTAGTTTTCTAGTTTATTTGCATAGAGGTGTTTATAGTATTCTCTGATGGTAGTTTGTATTTCTGTGGGGTCGGTGGTGATATCCCCTTGATCATTTTTTTATTGCGTCTATTTGATTTTTCTCTCTTTTCTTCTTTATTAGTCTTGCTAGCGGTCTTATCAATTTTGTTGATCTTTTCAAAAAACCAGCTCCTGGATTCATTGATTTATTTAATGATTTTTGTGTCTCTATCTCCTTCAGTTCTGCTCTGATCTTAGTTATTTCTTGCCTTCTGCTAGCTTTTGAATGTGTTTGCTCTTGCTTCTCCAGTTCTTTTAATTGTGATGTTAGGGTGTCAATTTTAGATCTTTCCTGCATTCTCTTGTGGGCATTTAGTGCTATAAATTTCCCTCTACACACTGCTTTAAATGTGTCCCAGAAATTCTGGTATGTTGTATCTTTGTTCTCAGTGGTTTCAAAGAACATCTTTATTTCTGTCTTCATTTCGTTAGGTACCCAGTAGTCATTCAGGAGCAGGTTATTCAGTTTCTATGTAGTTGAGCAGTTTTTAGTTTCTTAATCCTGAGTTCTAGTTTGATTGCACTGTGGTCTGAAAGACAGTTTGTTATAATTTCTGTTCTTTAACGTTTGCTGAGGAGTGCTTTACTTCCAACTATGTGGTCAATTTTGGAATAAGTGCGATGTGGTGCTGAGAAGAATGTATATTTTGTTGATTTGGGGTAGAGAGTTCTCTAGATGTCTATTAGGTCTGCTTGGTGCAGAGCTGAGTTCAAGTCCTGTATATCCTTGTTAACTTTTGTCTAATGTTGACAGTGGGATGTTAAAGTCTCCCATTATTGTTGTGTGGGAGTCTAAGTCTCTTTTTAAGTCTCTAAGGACTTGCTTTATGAATCTGGGTGCTCCTATATTGGGTGCATGTATATTTAGGATAGTTAGCTCTTCTTGTTGAATTGATCCCTTTACCATTATGGAATGGCCTTCTTTGTCTCTTTTGATCTTTGATGGTTTAAAGTCTGTTTTATCAGAGACTAGGATTGCAACCCCTGCCTTTTTTTTGTTTTCCATTTGCTTGGTAGATCTTCCTCCATCCCTTTATTTTGAGCCTATGTGTGTCTCTGCATGTAAGATGGGTCTCCTGAATACAACACA